TTAGGTTCACGGCCTGAGCTACAAGGCCGTTTAGTGGTGGTGTTGATGGTGGGTTTTGGGCGGTGCTCCGGCGCGTTGCTCAGAAAGCGACGGTCGTATGATATATGGGGTGAATGAGATGGTAATAGAGATGGTGCTCTGGCGCCTTGAAAATCAAGGGTCGTATGATATATTGATGAATGAATTTTCCTTACAATCTATCACTACTCCTAGGAAAGCATGTAAAGGTTTTGAAAGTGCATTACAGGAAAATATAAGTTGCTCCGTGGGAGGCTTTTGGTTTGGTGTTTGAACCCTTTGAATGTAGCTTTGAGCTTGGTATTTATAGGAAGAGCTCTGGAGGAGTAATCGAGGCTGAAAATCTACATGGTAAATCTCGGCCGCCGCCCTGATCGTGGGTTCTGCGCTACAACCACTCTGATTGCTGTCACCAAATCCTGACTTTAGTCACTTCCCTTCTTCCCTCGTGCATTAAATGCCTTTTTACGGCTAGTGGGTTTGCTAGTTAGAGGCGTTACTTCATTAAATGAAGCGTGGGACCCTGCTGTCACGTGGCGATTTAACTCTAATATCTTCGGCCGTGTCCCCTTCGTCCTTCGGCCTCGGCCTGTGATACCGCGGTTGCAAGGCCGAGATGATTATGCCTTCGCAACTTTTCCTTCGTCTTTAGGAAGGCAAAACATCTGACGAAACACCACGTTTTGGTTCATGAATAGGTGCTAAGGCCGAGGGAGGTCCTTTCGGCTAGTTTATGGCCGTGATTTATTAGGCACAAACAAAGTGTTGTATTACAACGAGGCCTTCTTCTCTCTTCTCCCTCCAATAGTCTCTTCTCCCTCCAAAACATCCCCTCCAAAACAGACGTCCCCTCCAAAACAGAAGTCCCCTCCAAACCAGTTGTTCGCTCAGTTCAATGAGGAGGCCATTTTTTTATCAGCTTTGATTGAGGAAGAACTGTAACATTGAAGAGAGAGCACCCTCATTTTTCTGGGTTTCCCATTCAGGCGAAACAAAGTAATCTTGGATTTTATAATTTCATCTTTGTGGTTGGGTTTTTGGGGTCGGGACATACGTCAATCCTTGAGCAACGTCGAAACTAGCGTTGAGTTGGAAAGTGCTGATCGTACCATTGTGGTTCTGCTATGTTGGTTTTGAAATCCTTGAGCGTGGGCGAAACAGGGGTTGAGGAAGAAGAAAAGTTTTTGGGGTTGACATCTAGATCTAAAAGGGCTACGTTACGTTGTCATATTTGTTGAAATTTTGAAGTTGGAAATCAGTTACGAGGTAAGCCATATACTGTATTTGTCAATTTCATTATTGGGCATCAGCATGAGTCACTTTAGGTTGTATGTATGACTTTAATGTTTCAGCGGAGAGTCATTTGCATGTCATATGTTAGTTAATATATATTGTAAAGCTATTTGAAAGCATGTGCCAAATATTGGGCATCAGTATGAGTCAGATTAGGTTATATGTATGTCTTTAATATTTCACCAGAGAGCCATTTGGATGTCATATGTTAGTTGATATATATTTTAAAGCTGTTTGAAAGCCTGTGCCAAATATTGGGCATCAGCACGAGTTACGTTAGTGTGTATGTAGGTCTTTAATGTTTCACAGATA